TTTCAAAATCTTCATTAAAGCTCACAACTAACCACTTGAAAACACTTTTCATTTTGGTAAGGATATTTTAAAATACAAACATGGTTAGTACACTGTTACCTGTTTTATACAGATAATGTAGGGATAAACAATCCTGCCAGTTAGAGTTCACTTCCCCTGTTAGGTGGATTCTTCTTAGAATGTACTTTGTATGACTTTGGCCTTGGTTTTTTTTTTTTTTTTACTGTGTATCCCACTGTTTATTTGATTCTGTCACGTCTAACACCCGGTAGAGAAATATTTAGGGGGGAAAAGGAAGTGAAACTGTACAGTTAAAAAGGAAAACAGCAAACATCTAGGGGGAAATGGCACTGTATATCTTACTGTGAAAACACAGTAGAATCACAATAGAGATAAAATTGTATAGTATTCCTAGATGCCTATGTGTACAGTTTTCAATATACTTTCATGTACGTATTGACTAGCTTCACTGTCATACTATGTTTCTGATAACACTTTTGGCTTATAACAATTACAGCAAATTTGATGGCATATTTTCATAAAGCTTTTCGACAGAAGTAGATCTTAAAAATGAATGGTTGATGATTAGTGAAAATATAAAATTCTTTAGAACTCTCTAAAATTGTAGCCAGGAGTGAAATGCCTTTTGTGTGTGAACCGTTTTCTCTAGATTAGATTGGTGTGTTTTACTGTAAGTCAGCAGTTACCTCTTGTTATATTAATTTGGTTTATTTTCTAATTCTGTTAAAATCCCATTGTTTCCCACCCTATAGATTCTGTGTTACTGCTTACGGTTTTGTCTACTATTGTTATTACAGCTTTAATAAGTATTTTTAAGGGGAAATGGCCATGTATGTTTAAACATGACCATTATGTAACAGGAATACACTGAATGCTATTAAAATATACATATTATGGACCACTAAGATATACGAGAGATGTAAGCTGGTCTGACAAGTGCTTATAGAAAACTCTTAATGAGTTTATGATTGAATCAAATTCAGTGTAAGCAGGCTAATGGTTTTTCAATGCCAGTTCCTTTTTGGTAAGTCTTTTTTCACTGCAGACCCTTTCAGCCCATATTAGGTTGCCTCAGGTTTATGGCAACAGCATGAATAATTTCAACTCAGATGTCTCTCAGATAAGAGGGATCATTTCCTTAATAAGAAGTACTACAGTGCCTTTATGTTAGAGGAAAATATAATATACTGTAGGCATGGATGAATCAGTGGCAGATGCTAAATTTTAAAATGAGTAGCAGCTTGAAGCTCTTGTTTTTGCAATACTTTGCCTCTCTTGTTTCTGTTCCTTTTCCTAACAATGCTGAGAGCACCTAGGGCTTAAGCCCTCAGGGCTTCGGAGCAATGAAACAAGTATATTCAGGTTGCCAGCTCTGGATGAGAGGTGCTTGGCAGTTTGCCATGCTTCTGCCATCCATCTACAGTGTACTGTTGCCTCCAGCAAAAAAAAAAATCTAGTGGATGTTCTGCTTGTTATGACACTGACTACAGTGTGAAGAGTATTATTAGGAGGGTTATAGCAAATTCTGTTAGATGTTCATTATTTTGAACCACTAGTCCTCTGTTTACAGGGAAGTCATTTTTTTCCACAATGGTGCATAACTTTATACTTTTTCACATGCTGTTCTCCCCATGCCCTTTGACGTTCAGTATTCTCTGCTTAATTCGCATAAGTAACAGCATTTGGCACTGATAAAGAAAAAATTGATAGTGACTCCATCTAACCCTGGACCTTTTCCAGTCATTATTGAATATGCAAACGTATTCAGTGATGATTGATTACAATGACCTTGAGGAATCTCTTATAAAAGTAAGAAGAGTAAAGTATGTGGTCCACATTTGGGTTCAAGTGCTGCAGTTGGATGGGGGCTAATTTGCATGCTACAATAGCTTCACTAGCTGCTGGCCCATTTTTGGACTAACTGAAAGGGCCAGGTATGACTTATAAAGTTGTCTATTGCTTAGGCCCAGGCTGTCTGGAGGGCCACCTGTTTATATGAGCCCCGTTAGTTATTAGTATACTGTATCTGGATGATACCTTTCTCTCAGATCTACTGCCCTCACAAGTATGATGGCTGTTCTCAGCTTGTTAAACTCCCATCCAGAGGAATGTAAGCTGGCCTTTGCTAGTCTCGCTTTCCTTCCCTAGGGGGGTAAAGACCTTTATCTTCAGACAAGCTTTTGGCCTATGGTCAGACTACAAAGAAAGAAACTTTTATCAGGGGACAATGTTCTTCTTCATAATTATTTTCTATTAATAGTTGTTGGATTTGCTCTTGTTTTGAAATTGTACTAGGTTTAATTTTAATTAAATGCTGTTATGTAGAGTGTCATTTATTTATTTAAAATATCTGTGCCCTATCTGTTTTATTTATTCAAAGCAGCCATTCTGAAGATAGGCCAATGGTCCCCTGGGAGGTCCTGACACATTTGAAAGTTGAGGAGGGGGGGCATAGCTTATATTTCCTCCACATGTTGTTAATGGCTATGGTCAAAACCCATTGAGAACGGCTGATTTAAAGTGTCCATAACCTCTGTCTGTGTGTAATTGCAGTTTTTGATACTACAATCTGTGTACCTACTATGATTTCCCTACTATTTTGGGTTTCGGAATTGAAAGAAAGATCGTTGGTCATATATAAATGAATATATTATATGAGAGATTATGTAATAATTTTCCCAAGAACCAATTCCAAGAAATATTAGTTAGCCAAAAGAAGATGTTAAAACCTCAAACAGCCTCATTTCATCAGATGCCTAGGAGCAGGGAGATTGATGTCTTACTCAGACACTGAAAAGAAGGCAATATTAAGGCCAGGCAAACCTCCTAGGGAAGAGCTTTTCATGGCCTTTATGCTGATATAAAGGCCTCTATCTCATAATTACCCATAAATGATACTTGGAGGAAGCCTCAGATAACAGGTAAATGCATGGCTGGACTGATACTTGATCAGGTGTTGAGATTCCAGTCTATCCAAGGTTTAAGGTGCACGTTGCTGGTTTTCTTTCAGAAGGCAGTGGGGGGTGGTGGTGACTTGGAAGGTTTGATGTGGGCTCAGAACACATCCCTTTGAAGATGGATAATGACTAGTTAATTTGCACAAGCTGATGAAGTGTTAGCATCAACGTTTCCTGTTAAGAAACAGCATACAATAAGTTGCCCTCTCCACCTCAGTGTGACATAGATTTTTTCCCCTCTGTTATTGTTAGACTAGTCTCATTACAAGACAGATTGGACAGGTGCTCCAGGCACTTCATGGCTCCTTCCCGTAGCTCCAGTTTATTTATTTATTTATTTATTTATTTTATTTCTATCCCGCCTATCTAGTCGTACTAGACCACCTTCATGGCTCCTTCCCGTAGCTCCAGTTTGGTTGCTGAGGCTTTTCCTGGCTCCTGACACAGGGAGAGGCCATGCCCTGACTGTCCAGAAAGTTACCTGTTGAGTTCAGGCATCACAATGTGTATGAGATCGTTGGTCATCTTCTACAAGCCAATATGCCTGGAGTTCCCTAGCTTTCCATGCCCCTATTACTATAGAAGTCGGTTACAGTTGTCATTGCAGCTACCTTTACCTCTGTCTCCAGACTAAGAAATAAATAAAATGACCAATCCACCAACCATATGGAAAACTGAAAATGATACATGTTACTAGGAAGTCTGCCATCAGATATAGACACTAAGCAGAAATTTCTGGAAACTCTTAGGAATATGTCACAGGCAGCATGTGAAGCATCATATATGATGGCATCCCCCTACATAAGAAAGTAAGACTCCAGGGAGGGAAAGAAATGGTATCAATGTTCAGATAGCCCTTCAATATTTAACAGAACCATCATTCTTTGGAGGTGATAATCAGCTGAAAAATACAGCTGTACTGTAGCATCAGCAAGTGTCAGTGCTGACATAAAGCAAAGCAAAAGCAAAGCATGCTGCTTATATACCACCCCGTAGGGCTTAAAGCACACTCTGGGCAGTTTACAAATTAATTATGCAGGCTACACATTGCGGGCTCCCCAATGGGAACATCAGGTAGAGAAGGTATCAGAAAATGACAGAGTCAAGATCATGTGGGATTTCCAGATCCAAACCGATAGACACCTTGAACATAACACACCAGACATAATAGTAATAGAATGAAGAAATGTCTGGATTATTGACATTGCAATTCCAGGGGATGCCAAAGTTGAAAATAAAGAATTGGAAAAACTAAGTACAGAAACCTGGCATTCAAAACATTTCACCTCTGGAAGAAACACACTTCAGTGGTCCCCATAGTCATAGAGAACAATATTAAGAAACTTCACACAGAACTATAAGCAATTGCAGATCTCAGAAATCATACCATCAAAGTTTCAAAAACTGGTACTTAGGAACAGCATACATACTGTGCTGATAATTAACTGGTACTTAGATTATTGGTTAAAATTCGTATCTGTTATATTATACCAGTCAGTGTTTTTATAATTTTGATTGTGCCTGCTGGTTTTTAAATCATCATCATCATCAGTACCAGAAATGTTTCTTTTAAATGAAGCAACACAGTAACAGATGGTTTGTGGTTGACAGTTCTTTATGGTACAGTCATGGCAAACTAACAACAACTTTAGTTTTTTTCTGGACAAATGGTATAGATCATGTTTTGGAATTCCTTGATTCTTATTGCAAGAACAATTCACTGAAAAAAGGCTATCAGATTTTCTTATGTTAAGATTAGTTCCTAAAATGAACATTGTTTACGTAACAAATGTACCATATGCGTAATACGATCTCCCAACCTTGAAGGGGGAGGAGGAGGATAGTGGTGAATAACAAATGATAATGACATATATAATATGTTTAACTGTTTGTGCTTTCAGCGATTATGTGGAAAATTTTGTCTGTTTAATTATATTTGAAAGATACATACAACATCTTACTATTTGATTTTTTTTCTTTCTTTCTTTAACTTTCACGGTATGTAACCATCTTATTTTGTAGGATGGCCGACTGCGAATCAATGACCAGCTTATTGCAGTGAATGGGGAGTCTCTGCTTGGAAAATCAAACCATGAAGCTATGGAGACCTTGAGGCGTTCTATGTCTATGGAAGGAAACATTCGTGGAATGATCCAGCTTGTGGTTCTCAGAAGGCTAGATAGGCAGACTGAAGTGGTATGATAAGTTTTTGTCCTCATTTATTTCCAAGAGTTGCGTGGATCATTGTATTGCGGTTACTTTATAGAGAGGAACTGTCGTCATTGAAGTGGATGTAGCTGATTTTGCTACTTTTTCATTATGAACATTCATTTGTAACATAACAAAATATAATGTAGCTTTGCATCATGTTCTTAATACAACAATAGTCAATTACCAGTAGCTGACTGGATAGCTCAGTGAGTTAGGTATCTGGCGGGGGAGTTCACTTCCTCACTGTGCATTCCACAAAAGCCAACCTATGTGGCTTTGGGCAAGCTGCACAGTCTCGGGATTTTCTCAAAAGAAGGGAACTACTTCTTCTGAATAGTTTCCACCTAGAAAACCCCCCAAAAAGGTGTCATAAGTCAGAACTGACTTAACAGCATTCAATTGTTATCAGTTACAAGTAATATTGGTTGGAGACATTTAAACCCCAATCTGTTTGATGCTTTAACTGTGGTTTTTTTTTAAAAAACAAGCCAAGATCTAGCTAATGGACAATCAGAAAACTGGTTTTTTTCTTACCACTCCCTGCAAATACCTGTTATCCCATATACTTTTTGTGGCAGATGGGCACTAGCACAGCGTATCACCAGTTCTCTTACCTTCCCCGGTGTGAACATCTTTGATCGCTCTTGACATGGCCCATGCCAAGCTTAGTCCTAAAGCTTACTTCCAATTCTGTATTCCTGGGCATACTTATTGCCTTAGTTAGTTGGTCAGTTAGTTAGTTGGTTGGTTCATTCATTCATCCATTTGATTTATATACCAGCCCGTCAGTGCAATCTATATGGCAGCAAAACTTGCAAGTCAAAATATGATTAAAACAGAAACTGAAGTATTATATCTACCTGATCCAATGCAGGGATGCAAAGAGCTTGGTCCCATGGGTCCAGCAGATAGGCAGGTCCAGCAGAGTCTCCTCCTAGATCCAAGGTGTGGGTCCCTGGAGAGGCTGAGTAGGAAGGTTGGATTAGGGAGAAAGAGAGCCCTCCTTCATTGGAAACAGAAAGGGATCAGGAACCAAAATTATGGCAAAGGCTTGAGGGGAGAAAGCTTCTTCTCTCAGGGTGCAGTGGTTCTTTTGTTCCTTTGACACCCCTAAAGTTTCCTGCTTTATGATTGGTGGTGACAGTGAACACCAAATCTCTGTATGACTTCTCCGATATAGATGTTAAAGAACATTGGGGAGATGGTCAACCCATGTGGATCCCCCATAGTGGAGACAGCATTCCCAAGCTATATGATCCAGGATCAGTTATCAAGAAAGGACTGGGATCACCGAAGTATGTAGCCCCCAATCCCTAAATTCAATAACGGTCCAAGAAAGATACCATGATTGATGGTATAAAAGGCTGCAGAAAGATCCCTGAGGACCAGAAGGTTTATACTACCCTTGTCTGCTCCCCTTAGGAGATTGTTTTGCAGGGTAACCTATGCTGTTTCAGTACCATATCACAGTTTACGTTGCTACTGAACTAAACCATCAGTTTCTTCCAAGAACACCTGGTCAGCTACCACCCTATTGATCAACTTGTGCAAGAAAGGAAAATTTGAGACAGGCTTTAATTGTTCGAATCATCTATGGTGAAATTAGTTTTCTTAGGAACGGGCCTTATTACTCCTTCTTTTAAACAAGAGGAGACGAGGGCTTCCTGGAGATGAATGCTGATGACATGAGTGGCCCATTGAAGCATTTTGTCCTTGGCATATTTTAATAGCCAAGAGGGGCAAGGATCTAAGTAGCTTTACAGCATACAAGTGCCTTCTCTACATCCTCAAGTCTTACTAACTGAAACTGATCCAATAAAATCTGATTAGACAGTGCATTTGGCCATCTCAGTCTGATTTACTGGCATAAGTAAGGGGTCAAGGTCTAAAAGGATGCATTCAGTGTTGGATCTCAAATGGGTTGCCAGTTGGTTGCAGTTCTTAAACAGGAAGGCTAACCAAATCAGCCAGAAAACTCCTGAGGACATCCTGGAAACCAATTAGATCCAACAGTGTTCGGGGGCAGGTGTTCTAATAGGGCTATCTACCCTGCCATACAAATCTCAGCAGGCAATGATCTGACCATGACAAGGTGGAAAACTAAAGGTTTACCACCTTCAGATCATCTTCTCTCTGCCCAGATGTGAACAGCAGGTCCAAGGTATATCCTGCCACATTTGTAGGACCTGTAACATGTTGGGACAGGCCCGTGGATGCCGTGGAATCCATGAACTCCAAAGCTGCCATGGCAACCTCTGTCTCCCATATGGATATAAAATCCCCCAGAAGTAAAAGTCCCAAGGCCCTCAACAACTCACTGGAGACATTATCTGTCATTATGACTTATTTCTTACACACCTTTCTTCTCAAGCAGCCTGAACATCCAGTTGTAACCCTTCTGCCTGCAATCTGTTAGGATTTTAATGAAATTTCCCAGCACCCAATTAGAGAAAAGAAGTATGATAAAATTTCCCACTCAAGCCACCTGAATACTGACTCAAATATATCCCATCACCATATTGTCAAGAAACCCAGATGGCTCCTACTGTTTTTGGAAAAAAAGAAACTGTCCTGTGAATTAGCACCAAACTCTTGGGCTGAAAACTAGATAAGCAGCTCTTTTCATGGAGATCTTTGCATCTACAAAATCTAGCTTCCCTTCCACGCCTAAATGAAATTAGACATGTTCAGTTTCAAATTAAATGATTGTCATTCCTTATGTTGTCCTTCATAACTAGTACTCACTCATTAAAAACACACTTCTAGGTTCATCTTAAAAAGTTGTTGGTTTATCAAGGACAACAACAACAACTAGTAAAGTTTTCTACTTAGGCTGTAGCAGGGGTTTAAAGGGTAACGCATGAAGTGGTCAGTTAGGGTAATTGTTCTTACATGTTTACACTAAGTGCAGTGTTAAGTTCCATGAGCAACTTAGAAGTAGTTGTTCCAAATGAATTGGCCCAAAGGACCTTTAACTGGTTGGATAGCTCAGTAGTGTAGGCATCTGGGTGTAGTGCCAGAGGCTGGGCATTTGATTCCTCGCCCAGAAAAATGTAATGCAACTTTCATTTTGGGCATCTGGGTGTAGAGCCAGAGGCTGGGCATTTGATTCCTCACCTAGAAAATGTAACGCAACTTTCATTTTGAGTTTCATTGTCTAAAGGCTTTCTCCCCAGGCAGCCTGGCCCTTTGGTAATACTTGAAACTTAGTCTATTGCCACCCTTGGAATAATTAGAATGTTATGTGCTAAGTCAATGAACCAACACCACTTCACTAGACAGACAAAAGATGCTTTCACAAAGACAAGCCACCATTTATGTCCATGACGGACGGACGGATGGACAGACAGACAGACAGACAGCTGGATGGATGGAAGGGTGGGTGGATGGGTGGGTGGGTGGATTAAGGAACACTTTCTGATTACAGAACTGTGGTGCACAAGATGAAGGCAACAATGTACAGGTGTGGAAGGAATCCAGAGCTACCCACCCAGAAGAACATAGCTATTGCATGTTTGACTCTGCTCCTTTTATCTTCATGATGAAAGGGAGTTTGCATCTCGTACAATTCATCGCTGTCTGCTGTAATGCACATTTGGTTATTTGGCTATCCAGATAGAAACAAATACAAACTCTTCATGCAGAAATGTGTACGTATTCCGTTATGTTTTGTGCCATGAAGTTGGAACTGACTTATATTGATCTTAACAGGGCTTTCAAGGTAGCTGAGATATTTGAGAAATGGTTTTACCAGTTCCGCTTCCCCAGTGAGCCACCATGGCTGAGTCGAGGTTTGAACTCCAGCCTTCTGAGTCCCAGTCCATCACTCTATCCACTATACCACACTGTGTGTATGCATTCCTATACAGTGGTGCCTCACTTAACGATTGCCCCGCATTATGACGAATCCGCTTTACGACGATCTTTTTGTGATCGCAATTGCGATTGCAAAACAATGGTCTATATGGGGGAATTTCGCTTTGTGATGATTGGTTCCCTGCTTCAGGAACTGATTCTTCACAAAGCGATGTTTTTCTAACAGCTGATCGGCGATTTCAAAATAGCCACCGGGTAATTAAAATGGCTCCCCGCTGTGTTTAGGGACAGATTCCTCGCTATACAGGCAGCGAAAATGGCCGCTGTATGGAGGATCTTCGTTGGACAGTGAGTTTTTACCCCATTGGAACACATTGAACGGGTTTCAATGCGTTTCAATGGGGTTTTTTATTTTGCTTTACGATGTTTTCGCTTAACTGCAATTTTCCTGGAACGGATTATCGTCGTTAAGCGAGGCACCACTGTACTATCCCAAAATTCAAAAGAAAAGCAAGTGAATCTTTCTTCAGTTAAATAGTTTCCTTTGGCATTTATGTACTAGTCTGGATCCTGTTGATTTGCAGAAGCAGTCAGTGGCCTTCAAGCAGTCAGTGGCCATCAGCATATATTTTCCCAAGGAGGTATTCAGACATTCCTGTCCTATCCTACTTCGATGAGTCTCCTTGTAAACCTATATGAAAATCTTCCCCCACTCCAGGTGTGAATTTGTATATCTTTCAGATATGTGAAATGCACATCTATTTCTGGAACTTGCCCTGTGAAGAATTTGCAGTGAGCTCTCAATTGAATCTGGCTAGTTTTAAATGGAAATTAATTTTTATAGGATGTGCCTGCAGCTCAATTGTAATTCCATTTGAGACTGAACACCCAAGCAAAAAGGGCCATGACCCATACTCCTCCCCACAACCACCTGAACTGCTCTCCTCCCTGCTGTGTCCCAGCTTGATATAGCAGAATATGTTTAAAATCCATTATTTTTTTTATTGACTGGGACCCTAAGGGAAACTTTTCATGACAGCTCTGTTTCACTGTCTGAATACTCTAATTAGACAGCATACTGATCAGTTGTTGAACTATTGATTCTGTTGCTTATCAAAGAAGTTAAAAAAGTAGATTCTTTCTCTCCCTCCTGTTGCTGTTAATTTAAA